TGCCAAAATCTCTTTAAATTCTTTGCGGAAATTGTCATTTAACCACCCATACAGCAACGGATTCGAACATGCTGAAGACATGCCCATCATATGGCACACTGCGTACCATATCATCATAGACTGGCGATCTTCTCCAAACGGATTCCAGTAGTCGACAACCAGATTAAATATATTTAATGGTAACCAACTGATACAGAAAATCAAACTTATGGAGACCAACAAAGAATTAGTTCTCTTCATTCTTTTATCGTCCTTTAGCTTCCTCCTGTTTGTTGACACTGTACAACCTTTGTTCTTGGAGGATGACCCGACAGCTGAAGAATTCACGTACCGATATTTCAATTTACGGCAGATTCTTGAATAAGCAATACTGACCGTAAAAATTGGCAGGACGTACTGGACCACTAGTGAGAAAAGCGAGTAGTAGGCACGTCCATGTTCAACCGGCCACTCCTCTAAACAGTATTCTATATAGTCTATACCGATGCTAGGAAGATGAATATCGTGATGATTCAATGTTCGCCAAAAGAACATTGGGCTAGCAAGAATTATGGCAGCCACCCAAATGCAACTGAGGATTATCACAGCTCCGAGTTTCTGCAAGCTTTCTCTCGTTGGATACACAATCACTTGATATCTGTCAAGAGCAATGGCTGTAATAGAGATGGTGGAAACAAATATGCTTGTAGCCTGTAAAGTCCCCAACATTTTACAGACGAAGGGGTATCTTCCTAGAGGCCAGTACTTTGTGAGGATTTCCATGAGTGTGAGAGGCATAGTGATAAGACATAGGAGGAGATCTGAGATTGCGAGGTTCACAATGAACATGTTCCTAGCAGTACGCATGGCAGGCTTTCTGGCAACGGCACATACCACTAGGCTGTTGCCAGCGGCTCCAACAACTATGAGAACACTGTACACAAATATGAGGGCTGAGAACGCTGGGTCTTCAACAACGCGATTCCGAGCAAATTCTTCCAGTAGACCCTGGTCAATTGTCTCATTCAGAACCCAGGACACGTTTCTGATATAGGCCGTGATGTTGTGTTGCAGAAGCCGGGCAGGAGAGTCACCTGTGGTCGCCTCTCGGAGGTGCAGGAACCTCTGAGGAAGAGTACTCAAACGGCTACTGGCATTCCACAACTCCATTGTCGTTCAGAGCAATTCAACGTCTGTAGAAGAAACAAAGGTCATTAATAATAGGGGCTTTAATTTATTTAAGGGCTTTCTGTTCACTTAATGCAGCTTTTAGGCCAGCTAAATTCATGGTTCAAGGTCCTACTTTAGAAGCGTACCACTTTAAGTTTAGGAACATTTTCTTTATCAAATTTTGGGAAGGGTCTGTAATACAGCCGCGAAAACAACATTCCTAGAAGGAGATAAGGTAAAGCTCTATGCCCTAGAAGGAGATGAGGTAAAGCTCTATGCCCTAGAAGGAGATGAGGTAAAGCTCTATGCCCTAGAAGGAGATGAGGTAAAGCTCTATGCCCTAGAAGGAGATGAGGTAAAGCTCTATGCCCTAGAAGGAGATGAGGTAAAGCTCTATGTAAAGCTCTATTGAGGTAAAGCTCTATGCCCTAGAAGGAGATGAGGTAAAGCTCTATGCCCTAGAAGGAGATGAGGTAAAGCTCTATGCCCTAGAAGGAGATGAGGTAAAGCTCTATGCCCTAGAAGGAGATGAGGTAAAGCTCTATGCCCTAGAAGGAGATGAGGTAAAGCTCTATGCCCTAGAAGGAGATGAGGTAAAGCTCTATGCCCTAGAAGGAGATGAGTACTCCCTTTCATATTCCATAACCGGGAATTCATTGGATAGGAGGATGGCTGCTGTCCAGCGGTAGTGTAGAGGACAAAAATGTCTCTCTCGGGAATCGAATTCCGTGTATCCGCTGACCGTATGCAGTAAACTATCGTAGCACATGTACATTTTAAATTGGTATTTATCAATTTATGTTTCGCGAAATATGGAATTGAAATGCACTTCTACACACTTTATAACTGTTTAGAAAGTGTCGTTACAGTAGAGAGATATGGTTAGCTCTATTCTGTCGGCTCATCGACCTGTCCTGTTGTTTAATTATCGACTTTAATTTGCCTTGATATTTTTCAGATCTTGTCTGTCAATCTTCCCACTTTCAACCAAACTCCTGAATGGTAATCTGAGACGTATTCATATGTATACAGTTTATATACAGTTTTAATGTGTAATTTTTAAACGTTATTTGCATAAGTTCATAAAATCAGTGCATAGTTAGTGGGTGTTTGCATTTTCATGTCTAAAATTACCCAACTTATTTCGATGAGGTTTACTATTGAGGTCGGAACCACGTTTCTTGGGGAAATATAACTTTCTATTACATACAGCATTTACTTTACAAGACGCTCAAATCAAAGTTGTAATATTTTTGCAAACGGTCTACCTTACAAATAAGTTTATAATTGTTATTTTAAATATGTGATGATTGGCGAATGTTTATCGAAATACAATGTAAGTAATATACAGTTCTATGCAGCGTGATATAGGCAAAACGATGTGCTTCTGTGTGCAATGGACTCGTATGATCATTAAGGTCAACAACGCATGCAAAATACCATTTAAAAGCATGACTGCTCCAAATTGGTGAGGGCATTCACACTTCATTCCCCAAACACTGCAATTTTGTGCAGCTTAGTTCGATATCAGCCATCATAAATTAAAGAAGATGGAAACGGGAAGATTTATCGCCATGGCTTCGATGCGCTGTGAACGCGTCATATTACCCGTGGGATCTCGTTTTATGCGAGAAAGTACGGGAAAAGAAGTAGGTCCATCTCCCACTATTACAGATGAACCACAACAGACAGACGGAGTCATAATATGAGATGAACGAAGGGAAACAGAAAATAATATACCGAGTAATAAAATAAAGACGAGAAGAAGAGATGAAATATAATACAATTTCATTGATGATAGAAATAAAAAAGGTTATGAATAAAAGAGCGAGATAAGTCATGGGACTGAACAACAACTCAGTAAATTCTTGTACAAAGTTGTTGTTGTTGTTGTCAAGAGAGAGAAATTTATGGCCGATTCAGATTTCTGAGTGATTTCAGAAACGCATCGGAGCATGAAGCCAAAATTTACGTAACAAAAATTTTATCACTGTCCAGTCGTTTTAGTACCGGAACTGAAAAGGCGTAGACAAATTTTTGTCATTTTTGGCTATAAGAATAGAAACAAAAATTGCAAGACTAAAATAACAAAATAAAACATTCGATTTACGTTTGGAACATCACTTTCTCACTACATGTTTCGGTTCTTAGATGAACCATCTTCAGGTGTGTTTATCAAACAACTACAAAAAAAGTTGCATATAAGAAATTATGATTAAGTTTTTAAGTTTATATAATTGTAATTTTTACACACCTGAAGATGGTTCATCTAAGAACCGAAACATGTAGTGAGAAAGTGATGTTCCAAATGTAAATCGAATGTTTCGATAAGGAGCATCACATGGTATTTTAACTATCTTAATTTTAAATTTTAAATTGTGATTAGACGGACAAAGATTAATTAATTGAATATATATTTTCACAATATGACGCAAATCTATCATCTTAAAAATAAAACAAAAATTAAAAAAAGGGATAATACAAAACAGGGAAACAAATGAAGAGCGTAAAATAGGAAGGAAGAAACAAAAGGAAACGTAAAGAAGTTACTGTAATAAAAGAGAGAAGGATTAATCCTGCTGTTGTTATATCAAGAACATACCGTCACGGTCTAAAAATGTATCCACCTATTCCAATTAATAGAAGAGATAAAAAGAGGTTAATGTCATGTCTGTTTATTTGTTAGTCCTAAAATACTAGGCATTACTGAACTATTTTAATGAAACTTGTTACCAAGTTTATGTCAATAGTTTCTCCCCTATGATAGATATTTAATTACGTACATTCATTAGCAACAAACTTGCGGGCGTGTGTAATTTTGAGGTGGGAGGACACACGTGTCACTTAATACATAAAACAGATATTTAAAGTACATTAAAAACATATTTCAATAACACATGGAGACAGTGATATTTATATTTACTATTTTATGTGAGAAGATAAATGATGGAGCATCGCCGCTAGACATGTAGATTTGTCTTAAATACATGTAACGGAATGTAAAATAATTTACATAATTTTCTTATTATCATAAAAGAATTATTTCTCAGAAGAAAGACCGATTCAAAACAAGAAGTATTAAACATAGGATTTTCAAATCAAACGTCTGTTCAAAATACAAATGGATTGAAAGAAAAAAGTTTAAATTTCGGAATGTGTTTGGTTTAAAATGTACACAAAGCGATACAATGCCAATTACAAACTTGTGCGATTTCGATAAAATATATTTTCTCCATATAAATGTTTTTCCCTTAAACATCAAACACAAATTTCAATATACCAAATTTTTATACTTAGAAACTAATTCAGTCACATATCTTGACAATTTTTTACGGAAAAATGATTTTGTAAGTAAAATCATTGATATTTTTGTTGACCGGGAGACAAAGATGTTCTTGTAATGGAGAATATTTTCTTCTTAGAATTAGGTGCTGGTGATTTTTGTTGAAATTGTTGTGTTTCTTTACTTTCCTGCTTTCTCTGAGCTGAATTTGTGAGATCGTCACCTTTTATTTTAGAAGTGATGACGTCAATTTATTTCCTGCCATCTGTGTAGGAACAGCCATGTCAACATTTCTTCTGATTTGAGGAAATAAAGGTCCTTTTCTGTGACATATTTCCTTCGCTGGAGTAGAAACGATCTATCGAATGATTTCTTCGTGTGCGTTCTTTTCCATACAAGAAGTTATTGGGAGGCTGGGTTCAATGCAATCGTCATTTGTGCCAGTGGGATGATTACCATCTCGATATATTTCATGAAGTTAAAAATGACTCCTTTGGGCATACTTTCATCAGTAAAGACGTTTTATGGCAAGAAGTTGATCTCCAAGCACATAAAAAGTTTTCCCATATTCACTCTTTAAACGTGTTTTTCTTTTAAAATTTAAGAAACGAAATATGTTACGTTCGGTTGGGTTAAAATGTGTTTGGTTCGAGTTGTGTGCATGAATTTCATAACGTCTGTGGTAATGTGCCTTGAGGGACGTCTTATATTCGGTCTAAGGGCTGTAGCAAATAAATGTTGTGAGAAGGCAATTATGAACTATCACCCCTACGTCGTTGTCCTGACAGAATCAGACAGCTTCGTAAATTACGTAGCTCTGTGATTATCTTTAATTAGCAGCAATTTACATATTTATATTTAAGCAAGTTCTTAACCAACACAGAATAAAAAATTCATTTGATTCACGCAGAATCGCTCATTACTACAAATCTTCCCCAGATAGAAATAACATCTCTTCCATTGAACACTCCTGACTCCAATTTGGAATTAAAACCCATTTATTAATCTTCTGCCAGCTTATGTTAATTAATTTAAATGTTATTAGATTATTTATTTCATAGTTATTATGTTATTCTGTAATAAAGCAATTTGTCAAAGATAATTTGGCTAATTAGATGACAAGCTATTATAAAAATATTAAAATTTTCACAAACTGTCTGCCTACAAACAGGGAGGGGTAGGATATTTCGAGAGGTAATTTCGAGTAAAGAAATATTGATAAACCACTGGTAGTATTTCCATTTGCCCGGAGCAACTGTTTCAAGGCATGCAAACAACAAATGCTTATTTTTGTGTACGTCGATAAATATTAGCACTGGTGATGATTTCCGTTGAAGATGATGACAGATGGCAGTGGGCCAGATGCTACTGTTTCGGACGAATATGCTACAACCTGCAACGTACAACTGCTGACAATTATCTGAACTTCGCGACTTGCGAATTGTGTTTTACATTTTTCTTTTCAATTTACGGATTACTTTGACAATTTTTCGAAAAATAGTTTGATTGGCCGCCGAGATCTCCGGACCTAACCCAGCTTGATTCATTTTTATAGGGTTTAATGAAAGAGATAACCTACAGAGCCAAAATACACACAGAAACGGAACTCCTTCATCGGATTATGTAAGGTGCTGCTTATATACGAGAACACCTCGAAATGATTAATATTGTAGTTCATTTGTCCGTGCACGCACTTTGAAACTGCCATAACTCCGCAATGATTGGAAATAAGGCCAATGT